CTGTAACGAGTCATTATTAATGACTTTAAATAATTGGTGAAATCTTTTCAACTTTTACGTGTGAAATAAATCATCATACAAGAAGAAAAAAAATCGTTTCAACAAGAGAGAATATGCATATTATTTTTAAAGATTGTGTAATTGTTTTTACAAAATAATAATTATCTGAGACAGGAAATAAAGAACGATCTTCCGTGTGCGTTCGTTTGTCTTTGTTATTATTATGTTTTAATTGTAATTGTAAATTTGTATCTGATGAGTAATGGAGTTTTTTTTTAAACAACTTGTTTTTATCACAATCATCAAGTTAATATCATGCAAATCGACGCTGACAATTTTTCGCAAAAATGACAGAGCATTATGGCTATTCTGCAGAGTCTCAAATCAATATGATGAACAGTTGCGATTGACCGGTACGTGATTCTGTTTCGGTTCGCAGAGAGGAAGGATTCGTCCAGCGCGCAAGTGGAAAGTGAAAAGGAGATCCGTACAAATGGCAACGGCGGACCTAGGTAAGTAGGGCGAATCGATACCGGATCGAGATTTAAGCTAAACTCGTATCAATAAAAGGAGGAAGAAAGCTCGAAAGTCGATCAAGCGGCGGAGTTGGTCGCGCGATTCGACTCGCTTCTTTCCTTTTCGCCATCTTTTGTCGTCCGTTTTTTTTTGAGATATATCATACGAATGGGATACATCGTGTTGTAAAGGTGAAAGATGACCGTTTTCGGCAATCATTTCCAGTCGTTAATATATCGATAAAACGTGAATAATTACGACAGAGGTTTAAATCTTACAACTTGCTCGGACTTGAGCGAGCGGACTGTTTGTCAGGTCGATTAGCTTTAACCCCAGAAACAGTGAAGACATTAACTCCAGAAACACACTACGATAAATTCTAAGATACTCTTAAAAAATCCTTGAATGGAGAAATTGCTTTCGAAATAAGACAAACGCACCTCTATCAATTTTATTGCCTATAACTGTTTAACTTTCCACATGTTTTCGCTCGTCTTAATTTACTGTCATTGTTTGAAATTAGGTGCACGTATCTACTATTATAGCTGTTCTTTATGATTCTTACCTTCACCAGTCTTCATAAAATTGAACGTTATCTAATCCCTTAATTATCTAACAGACGAGATTTTTATCACTATTATTTATTTTTATCAGACATTGCAATCAGTTACTACAATAACACTACTTTCACTTATCCGTACGGAATAATAAAATTTACGTTCACCAATTTTCTGTAATTTTTCTCGTCAAAAGAATTATTTACTAGTATATCATGATCTCAACAAAACTATTCATGGATTAAAATTTATCATAACTCAAATAACGAATATTCTTAATCAATATTATTTTTAACAATAACATTTTACGGCATTAATTTATCAACATTTTTCTAACATTTATATTTTTTACATCAGTGATGCGCAACCTGTGGCCTGCGGTTCGCCTATAAACTTTTTACGACCCGCCAGATCATAGCAGAAGATATTTTCTATTTTATACAAACGAAATAAACATTAAGCGACTCGCAAGATTTTATCTATTTCTAAAAATGGCCCTCTGAAAATGACCTTTAAAAAAGGTTGAGCATCACTGTCGTTATGATATTTTTTACACTATCAGATCGGAATCACACAAAATTTTTGTTCTCCAGTCTCTCGAAACCACCGCCACCGCCACCGCCACCGCCGCCGGATGACGACGTGGTAGTCGTCCTGGTGAACGCAAAGCAGAACGCAGATGCTGACAAAAAAGATGCGCGAGGAAGCGGCCAGGACGGAAGGACCGAGTCCGGTGAGAAATTACGCCCATTTCCTCTTCGATGTCCTTCCATTCTCTTGCGAAATTACCGCGAGCGTGAAAGTTGCAACTCGATTTTGTGCAGAAATACGTGCACGCACGTTTGTCTGACATTTTCCGCGTGCATTCATTGTGGGACATTTCAATTCAAACGAATTGGGCATTTTCTTTATCTATAACAATTTCAGCTTCAAAAGATCTTGAATTGAAGAAAAATTTGTTTTCGGTGAACGCTGAATAAACGCAGTTACGTTCATTGACATTACTAGTGTCTTTTAAATTACTCCACATCGGATATGAGAGGACATCCTCTTAATATACAGATAATAACTGTAACTTCACATTATTCGTAACAATTGAGAAAAGAGATCGCGTTGCGCATGAGCGGTTTTATTGTCGGTCGATGTTTTACGATTACCGGTCAACGTGAAAACCGTTGTACTCTCAATTACTTCCTCGATAGATTTTATTTAATCGATCTATCTTAAATGGCACTACTTACGGAACACCTCGCCAGATTCAGAGTTTGTCTACCTTCAACGTTTAATGCTTCCGTAATTTAATTATCTCCATCATAATTAGTTGATTTTTGTTGGACAGAAAGATTAACTCTGAATTCGTTGTGGTTTTTACCGGGTTACCAGGAAATGCGATAATCTCTGTTATATATACAATCTATAATTTATTATTACCGTATTTTTATCACTGGTAATTGCCTCAGTATTCTTCCGACAATCGTGTTACGCTCATGCGAATTATGCTTACATTTTCGGGGCACGTGCCTGACTCTTCGATGCAAACATGAAGGCAATTAGTTGAATCAACTACGACGACTGGTAATTACAGTTGAAATCGGGCAAAATTTATTCACAGATGTTAATCAGCGCCACGGGTTTTTAATTGGGCCGGTTTGCGATCGGATAAAGACGCAGAGAGAAGGAAGGAGGAGAGGCTTCCTCCTCGTCGCGATCTCGATTTGGGCTGCACGCGCGTATACTTCAGCCTTTAATTAAACTGTTAGCGGATCATGTTCAGCGGAGGTGGCCTCACTTACTAGACCATAGCGCTCACCGGGCATATAATATACTTACCTAGATTTCACTTGCCCCTCGGTAACGACCGTCATCCAATGCTAGAGACTATAACGAGAAACCCTCTCCTTTCGGCTTACCTCTTTTACGTTATTCCACCTTCTCTATCTCCTCATCTCTTTCGTTCTCTAATGCTGCTGGTCGGTCTCGGAACAGCGACCAACAAGTCCGACACATCATCCTCCGGCGAGCATCCGCAACAGCCGGAAGTGCCGGCTCCCGCCAGTGCGCCGGTGGACGCGGACGAAATTAAAGCGAGTCAGACGTCCCACCTGGTAAACAGGCACATGGTATTGCCGTTCATACCGCCAAAGTTCGCCAACGCGGACTCCAACACCCTGCTCAAGCCATCCGAGTACCTGAAAAGTATTTGCAAGGTGTCGACTAAAAACAGTCTGTCGAAAGCGAGGTCAGTGATCTTTCCTTATACGCAACTGTGTCTACTTTTATCTGTGATCCTTCGCGTGTATAGTATCTGTTTCGTGATTGTCAGTTGATCCTAGAAGTGGCGAATATTCTTCATTATTCGTTTAAAAAAATCAATTTTAAAATTCAATGATTTGAATATGCAAAACATATTCTAAGTGCATTTTGAGGATATCTGGAATACATAAACTAAAGAAAGTAGATAACAAAAGGCAAAATTTTTGTGTGGTTTATTTATTTAAATTACTTAGAAAGTGGTGATTTAAAGTCGACTTCAAGTGTGTATTTAGTGTTTGTACGATTACTTAAATCATGCACGCGCGCACCACTTTACGCAGACATGTTACGTGCAATTTAAATAACGAAAAGTGGTACTGTTATTTATCGTTATTCTTCGTTAACTTCTATGGCTATTATTTATCAATGCAATTTTCGCGCACTTAAAATAATATCGACAATCACCTTCGTAATGATTATCGCTAAAGTTTACTTTACGATTCACATAACAGATGCTGTCAGTTAAAGCCTTTCAGTTATGCGTAGAAATGTTAACTCATGTGCAGTGCATTTGACTTTCCGATTATGCAGAAACGTAAGAAATCAATTTAATATGACTAAATTCTTCTTTGACTAAAGTTCTTTTTCGTACGAGGAAATATGTTTTACTTATGACAAAGCATTTTCCTTTTTTACTAAAGGAAAAAGCATTTCCTTTCGAAATAATACTTCAAATATTTATTAAAAATCATTTTCAAACAAATTAAAAAATTAACATATTCTGAAATATTTAAAACTTTTTAATATATTTATTGATGTTTTTATATAATTTAAATAATATATCTAAAATATATAATATAACAAATACTAAACAAAATAAACGCAGTGATTCTCTGATAGATAAAACACATTTTATACAGATAAACAAATTTATCTTCGAGCAGCGTCATTATTAAATTTTCCGTTCACGTGACAATGCAAAAATCGTGCTCGCAGGTCAGTGGACAACTTGGACATCCAGAGCCGGAATACGGAGCAGGGTGAAGAGGAGGAGGCGGACGAAGAGGAGGGGGCGCCAAGGAGCAACGAGGAGATCAAAGGATCTCCTACGGGCCCCCCGCCGCCACCTCTGTCTCCTCTGCAACAACGAGCACGAGGAGGAAATCAGGTCCCGGGTGCCACCAGCACTGGTAACGAGACCGAAAGCTGCAAGAGCTCCCCGCAACAACCCTTAGCCACAATCAGCATCCAGGACCTCACGAGTATCCAGCTACGACGGACTAGCACGAAGATGAACGCCACCAAGACATTCTCCGCTCCGCCTCCTCGCAGCGTGTCCATGACTAACGGTAAGTTAGTCCGCGACACACATGCACGTACAATTTAACGCTTTTGCGCGAACTCGAGCGTAAGGATTCAGACTTCAACCTTACTCGAGAACTCTAGTTTATATAACAATATTCTGTGTTATATCAGCGATCGTATATTTTTTCCCTAAAATAGTTCTGTTATGTTTATACATAGGTATTACGCGAAATTTATGCGACTTCGCTATAAAATTTAAAAATAGAATCGCGGACAAATTCAAATGAAACTATATCGTTTTCGGAGCAGTCTCGGAGCCGTTCTTCGTGCAGAAGACAGACCTAATTGCCGAATTGAAGCGCACGAAGGATATACCCGGAATCAAAAAGCTAAAGGTGGAGAGGGCACAGGTAGAGAAGACTCAAGAGCAGAATCTCATGTCGGAAATTAGCAAAGCGTTCAACGTTACGAATTTTGTTGATCAAGTAAGAGCATTTTATTTTTTATTCCTTGTAAAGATCCTTATAGAAATCTAATACTGGCCAATTTAACACTGAAAGACAGTAATTAATTACTTACTTGATGTAGGTACTAAAAACACCAAACAACATGCTTTTAATATACTTGAAATTAGATTTAGAGCGTACATTCTATTACTCTTTCTAATGTTCTCTATTAAATGTTTCTTTCTTCTTTTGGATACTCTTATAGCTCAGCTTCGAAATCTTGAATTATGGTTCTTTTTCAATAGATCCCCGAGAAGGACAGCTCAGGAAATGTAATACCAATCTGGAAGCGACAGATGCTAGCTCGAAAAGCAGCTGAACGTGCGAAAAAAGAGCTCGAGGAGCAAATAGCGCGAGAGAACGAGGAGAGGCGCCAGAAGGCAATTCCGCCATGGAAGCGACAGCTTCTCGCTAAGAAGGACACCGAGGAAAAGAGGTACGGAGATTAATGGATCTGTATCAATCAATCATCAGTGCAATGGAATGCTAGTTCTCGGCGATTGGAAAAAGCCATTAATTAGAATGGATTTTGCACTAGTAGAGAATGTTTTAACTGCTCGTACAATCAACAGTTGCTCACAAAATCGTGCTTGGATTGTATTTTTCAAAAGAGATTTCTCTCGTTCTATTTTACGAGATTTAACTCCGCGTGTTTTTAACGTACGCAGGCAGAAAGGGGAAGAGAGGCTAAGTACTCCAATTATTACGAGTATTACAATTGCCCCTTGTTGCAATTGGCTTCAAGTTCCTTCGTTTCGCGTTATATGCAAAATTACGCGATAAGTAGGATAATATTATGCATATTTTATGCGTGTATACTTATATTAAAAGATTAGCGTATCCAATTTGAAGATTGATACTCGGCGTTTCCAGATAAAAAGTCGTTAGTCAGAACATTTTAAATTTTCTCAAGTTTTCAAGTAGAGCAGAATAAAGCAAAAGCGAAAAAATGTTTAAAAGCAAGAAGAAGAGAATCTTTTATGTTTTATATTTTTCTCGATATTTTGTTACGTAATCTTTTTTGGTATTCTATTTCCTTTATTACGTCAATCATTACAATATGATTTTATCAATTAATTTTCTTTATTCCTTAATTAACAAAATATTAATATAAAAATTTTCACGTGCAAAAATTCAAGCATCAAATTATCGATTTGATTACAGACTGAATCAGACGCAGGTATCCGCATCGACGAGCACATCGAAATTTGAGGCAACGTCGGCAAACCCGAAGAGGGACGCCTCGCCGGCGGCGACGCAGGCGTCGTGCGTCATCAAGAAGGAAGAAAAATCCGAGGTCGAGGAGAAACGGGACGATCCTGTCAAGGACGATTCTGATGATGGTCAGATTATACCCTGGCGAGCGCAATTAAGGAAGACCAACAGCAAACTTAATATCCTCGATTAATCACTGCGCACCATTGCTTTATCTGTTTGTCGAAAGAGACGCGTTATATAAGTATCGTGTTTAATCGTTAAACGCGTGGGATTACGTACCATAAAATCTTTCCGAACTTAACGAAACTTACGCAACACGGAAAAATGCGAGGAAAACATATCTCGCTAGTTGAGATAATAAACGACCATATAAGATAACTCATGGAATTATACAGTGCGAAGCGTGTTCAATATTCTCTAAAAGTTATATGTACTGATGCTCTAAAAAAGTAAAAAAAATATTTTTATATGTTTCATAGAATGTCCTCGCAAACCTTCATAATTAACATTGTAATATACATATATACATCTTGTTCTTTATTTTTACGGAAACTATCCTGGAGCAAAGTGGAATTTAATGGTTATTTCAAGGTTGCAGGAATTCAGAAAAATAGAAAACTCAAAGGTAACTCGTCCGCTTTTTCTCAAATAAAACGTGACAAGAAAAAACTCTTGAGGATAAAAACTAAAATACTGTTCGCAAAAAGTATGATAATTGTTGAAACCAGGAAAAACAACTGAGCAGCTGAAACTGTGAAAAATGTTAATTATCACGTGTTTCGAAGTATACGTATAGCACTTTGCGATATATGTACATACAAATGTCTTATAATTCATTTGCATCGTAAAGCTTGAGATAATGCTATTCGTTTGTCGATCAGTTTATTACTACGAAGTTGAAGAAGTAGAAAAATTTTGTTCTTCACTTCAATTTTACTGTTTTCGGTTATATTTATTGAACTCAATGCCGTTCTGAAATCGTTTACTTCTTTAAATTGGTTACTTCAATGGAAATTTTATTTAATCTCGGAAAGTGTCCGGACAGACAGTTGGTGATTCTAGGTCTAATTAATCGTGTTAAAGAGAGCATCAGCAGTGTAGTGAATATGCCTGATAACTTCCAATTACAGTCATTAGAACGCTAAAGCAACAGATCAGTGAATTAATGTTGACGTTGATTAATCACTACTACGTCACGATAATGTCTGGCGTGTTACAACGTATTGCTCGAACAACAGTTATCTTCCGCTGAGAGATTTATCTCTTTGTGAAATAACGGAGTAAGGAATGAACACGAGATATTTTCAGCGTGGAATTATACTAACCTCTTAACTGCGATATCACTCAACACGAATCCACGATGTATTACCTAAGGAAAAATTGTATGTATATAACAATTGATATTTCTATATAATACTTGTATAATTAATAACATTTTGTGAAATTGTATATTATGACCGTCTAATTATTTTCTCACATATTACTTAAATTAAAAGTTCACGAAATCTAAAATATTAGGTGTACAAATAAATAATCCGCTATTTTTTATGAACTTTAATATTTACATCAAAACGTATCAACATGATTCAATCATCCGGTTCAATAAAAAAGATTGATCTATATTTGCGTTAAATTCATCAAGCTTTCTTCATTTCTTCGATATTTCTAAATTTGTTGTCATACAAAGCATGCATCGATCAGAACAAAGAATAATCTGGAAGGAAGATGCTAAGGTAGATCATAAATGTAATAAGAATAGACTACGCATTTCTATAATGTCACTATCAATTTAAAAAAGAGTAAAGTGGCGCCTACAATGAAATTTTAAAACTTAACCTTTAAACTCTAAGCCATAAGAAATTGACCAATTACAATCGAATGTCAGGAGAACACTTGACTATGATTGGTCGAGTTCTTCCGGTTTAGTGCTTAAAACTTAAGTTTTACACCTTAAAATCTCATTGTAGACGCCGCTTAAGGTAGCTTAAATCATATCTCTCTCTCTCTTTCTCTCATATCGAGTTAAAGAGAGATACTGATAGAGTCGAAAAGAAATGCTGATATGTTCAGTCTTTCTAACGGAACACAGATGTTAAGAGCCATGACGCACAGAAAAACGTAAGGCAGTAAAACGTAAGCAATAAGCGAATCGACCAATCACAGTAAAGATAATACAATAACGTAAATAACAAGTAAAAAATGATGATTTATTTACATCTTACATGTTTTGTCTGCAAACTTTAAGATCGGGAAATACGAAGTCTATATCTATTACGTCTATAGAGTAGAAGCAATAGACAATCAGACCGAAATGAGAATTTGCTCGACCTCATGGCAATAAATCGAGGCGAATCATATAGTGAATCAAAGCAATATAAGCTTTGAGATAAACAGAATTGTTATCTATTATGTTTTATAAAGAAAACGAAGAAGTAACGAGCATAATAACAGCTTATTTTGAAACAACAAACTTAAGAACTGTCTCAAAGCTTATATTGATTCGATTCACTCTGTAATTCGTTTCACTTCAATCTATCCTAACACCTTTAGATTTGTTTCGATCGATTGGTTGTGCAGCACACTTTATCTGACAAACAATTTAGAAACGTCGAAGAAAGAAAGTGAATTGATAGATTCAACGCAAGTAAAGACCAGTCTTTCTATCAAGTCCGAAATGTGTAATTTGGCTGAAAAATGCATTAAAAAGTAATGAGAGTTACTTTTATAATTAAACTATTCGATTTATTACGATAATCAATATTAAATTTTATAAAAAGTAATTGATTATTTGCACACTTAATTGCAAGAAGAAATAATTTCGATATATGCATTCGATATAATAATAGAAAATTAGTTTATAATTCATCTGTAAGTTAAGTAGAAAAAAAAAACCTGAAGATAAAAAATGTCATATTTTACAAAAAAAAAAAAAAAACAAAACTACAGGAACTGAAATGTATAGGATCATGTTACGCATCCGAAGGTTAATTTTTCAATCCCAAAACGTCTATATATTTCTTTTAATATTAAGAAAAACATATAATAATAATATGGCTAACTTAAGAATAACGTTTCTTTTTGGTTCACCAATATCTGAACCCTTGAATTTCGCCTCTCTCTGAATAGCAGACAAGGGTAGGAAAAACCATTCGATAGGGTACATCTTTCCATTCGCAACAGGGTACATTCATCTTCTCTTCGACGCGGTGAACAAAGCACGTCATTGTATATAACTGCGGACGCTTGTGACGTGCGTGGTCGTGCCCCTCTTTCTTTCTCTCTTTCCCTCTACTACCTCGTCATTTCATCGCACGCAGCCTTCGTTACGACATCGAAGAACGTTACGATGGAACGAAGCGAAACGCGAAGCGGGAGAACGACGCAGCCCGCGGAAGACGCCGGTGTCGCAAGCAACGCTGACGCTATTGTCGAGCCTCTTCCTTGCCTTTCGTTTCCGAGCAGCCAGCGCCACAATTTAGATGAGATTTTTGGCAGCGTTTAGATCAGAGCACAGTTAAAGCGCGGCAAGTGAATAAGGAAGTTGCGCTGCCCATAAAGCGTTAGTACGAAAAGCAAGTTTTCTAAAATCTTTAAAAAGGGTTGAAAGTTTTTTTCCTGTGTCAAGCATCGTTCGAGTGACATGATGATTTACACGTGAAGAGCTGTATTCAATTGGAAGAAATATAAGTCAATTCGTGCAAACGTAATTTAAAAAAGATAAATTAAAACTGAGTTTTAAAAAGTGCATTGAAATTAAGAAAAAGAAATACCGGTGAGGAACGTTTGCAATCATCATTACATCTGTCATCTACCGGCGAAATGGCATCCAATCGTAGTATGCTAGGTAAGTGACGGTGATTGACAAGACAAGAGATTAGAAGAATAAAAATAATTTGTTCTCTACTATCATGAATGATTTTGAATAAAATAAATGAAAATTAGCAAATGAAAATGAGATGTATATATTAACATGGCTATATTTAATATAATTATAAATATAAATATATAGTTATAAATATAAAGAATAAATACAATGAGGAAAGGTTAAACGTTACGTTATCGTAAATATCATTGAACATCATCATAATTATTTGAAATATTTATAATAGAATAAACGTAATAATTAATGCCTCACAATAGGAAACGTAAGACTTAAGACAGAATTAAAGCACACAATTTGTGTGATGTTTATCTTGCTCTAATCCTAATTTTATTGAGAACTGAAATACAAGTTTACATACATTGGATTATCAAGTTGCACAGTTACAAGGTTAACATATTCTAAACACATAACAAATGTCATTATCGTATTTATCGAATGTTTGAATTCGTGGAAGTTCAAGTTCCATACCGGTTTTATTAGATTTTTCATTATTAGCACGATGATATAACATAAAAGTCATAATTAGTTTAGGCGATTATGTTTGTTTCACACATCTCGTATTTTACTTGCACGCGTTTAGCTTTCCGATTTTAAACAAATACAACTATAAAATTGAATTCAATAATTTTAAGATAATTAATTAATACAATTCAACATCTACGAACACCGATCAAAATTAATTGATGATAAATTAACCGATTAAATTACTTAATGATAAATCGAACCATATTGTCCTATTCTAGAGCCAAAAGATCATTTAACTTTAATTTTTAACATCATATTATATTTCTTTAAATATAATTTTTTGTTTCTGAAAAAATCTACAGAGACATAACTTTCTTAAAAGAAAACGAACGGATATATACAAACTTGAGTTATACGGGTGTCTCGCGACGGACGGCAACGAACGCGGCTTCCGCTTAGACGTTAATATATTCTTTATTACGGGAAGGGATGATGATTCGTCAAGAAGCCGGCGCGTAATTCGATAAGCTGACGGTCAATTAAAGTAATAGAAACGTCAGCTTCCTGTATTTCCTATATTTATAATATGTAAATTATATTATATTATATATATAGGGGATGCCATTTTAATAATAAAATTTTATAAAATTTTATAAAATTATAATAAAATATTTACTACTAAGAAACATGCATGTACTATATAAGGTATGTTATATTTTCTGATGACTTAATGATTGTAGAAATGTGAAATATGCATTAAATAAATCAATCTGAGGCCAATAAAGAATAATTTTAAAGAATAATTTAAGAAAATATAAGTAAATTCTATATATACGTAAATAAATAATATTAATTTTACATACTTCAAATATAAAATAACGTAAGATGTAAAATATAAAGCACAAGATATTAAAATGTATAAACGGCTCATTTAATGCATATGTATAGAGGAAATGATCGTTCGTGTAATCTATGATCTCTTTCCGAATAAAGTTTACATGAAATATAAGTATAGTCTATTGCGATTGAAAACTCCCTATCGTCGTTTGTGCCTCACCTCCACATTGCTGAGGTTAATACGTATATCGTCGACGACTGTTGAACATCATATTTGTATATGATGTTCAACAGAATGCGATGCGTGTTGATAGTTCAATGCTTGTAGTCCACGCGACGACGCGCCACGCACCAGCCTCTAATCTTCGACCAATTAAACGCGAATGCATGCAACGACGAATCCGATAGATAATAATGCCATCGTTACTCGTATATTGACCCGAATCAATACTTCTTACTCTCAAAT